AGCGCTACTACACCCAGCCGCTGTGCACGCCGTCCCGCAGCCAGCTCCTCTCGGGCCGCTACCAGGTAGGGCGGGCGCTCCCACCCCTGCCGCGGGATGCTGCCCGCGGGACGGGATGCTGCGGCTGCTCACAGCCTGCTTGCCTCTGGCAGCCCCTGTGCCGCTCCGGCTTGCTGGGTCTCTGCCGCTGCGCAGGGGAGAGGGCTGCGCTGCGGTAACCAGCTGCTCTGAAACGCAAGCTTCATTCGCCTTGCGAGCTCAGGAGTAAACTAGACATGGAATCGGTGCGAATTGTTCTGTTCCAGACCAGCCGAGGTGCTCTGTATGCTCCGGTCGGATTAACAGGCACGGCAACCTGTCGTGTGAGATACCCCTGCCCTAGTCTGACTCTTGAATATTTTTGCACTGGTCGAGACGCAGACAGAAGCGGATCAACACCACTTGTTCAGTTTTTACAACATGTTTTCCAGTGCAGGGCCCAAATGTATCGCGAGCAATACATTCACCTCCACCTGGTACAGAAAGTGTAGATATACTGCACTCCCTCATGGAGTGCACACAGCGTGTTCATTAGTCTGTGTGTCCAAATAGTTTGTAGTCATTATCCTGATTTTTCCCACTTTTTTTTTTCTTATAATTTTTTTCAGTTTTGGCATAAACGTGGGGAGTGGAGGGTGGGAAATAAAGTATGGACACACAGCATGGACAGAAGGAAGAAACTCAGAAAGGGTTAAGTGTGTTTCAGAAACTTCCCCTCTGTCTCAAGAAGTCCTGCACTTCCAAGTTAACCATAGTGATTGCTAAATAAACTGCTCTGAATGAAAGAGCCCTGTATTAGTAGCAAGAAGTTGTTCTAGGTGACACTCTTTCCAAGCAGCATTTGTCCTGTTCCTGGAAACTCCAAGAATGAATAATGATGAATAGGCAAAAGCAATTTTCATTATCTTTACCAAATCCTTAAGTTATTCCATTAAACAGCCTAAAATATTTTTCCATAGTGACTATTTTTAAAATACAGTTCATAGTCTGAAGGTGCTTTCCAAGAGAGAGGCCACTGCTGCATCACATCTTAAAAGTAGACATTGGAAATAGTTCAGTCTAGTTTTAAATTCATCCCATACATTTGGCTTGATAATTTAATAATCTTTGTGTTGACCTTGTTGCAACTGAATAAAACAATATTAGAAAATTGAAGTTTTTTTTTTTTAATAGAGGAGACATTCTGTGCAACAGTAATTATGCAGCATATAATTATATTATGCAGCAAATATGTGGGATCTTCTTAAAGTTGTGTTACCATGGATATGATTAACAGTTGCTTAGAAACTTGTGAAAGTAACCTAAATCTGGTCCTCTCTGGAGCTGAGATTTTCATAGTCACCTTGCAATCCATATGAAAGAAGAGCAATGGTATCCATCTAAGATAGCTATAGACTTTTTTGTTATTGTCTCCTTCTCCTTTTTCTCATTTTCCAGATACAGTGCAAGAAACTACAATGTTTTGCTAGTTTGTGTTATTCTGTATAGTAATGTTTTCTGTAATACAGCATTTTAAAATATTTTAAATATTTTATATATAATATAAAATTTATAATAGAATTTAATTTCTGGACCCTCCTTACTCAAAGAAAATGAGGAAGTAGTAGATCCTTTAGAAAAGGGCTTTACCCACTTGCCTAAGATCAGGGCTTATTTGTTCTAAAAGTCATTTCAGAGAGTTGCTATATTTCAAAGCAACGATTTGAAAGTTAATCATGCAGCTTGCTGCACTGGTGTGCTTAGTGGAGTCATAAAATCTGCTGTCATCTGCTCCAGGGGATCTTGGAGGCTTTGTGCTTTGACACACACAGATTGATAGAAATATTTAATGTATAAACAAGATACATTTACTTGTATACATATGTTTGCAGGCCTAGCTTTGAGGTAGTGCCTTTTCGATTGAAGAGAACACAGGGAAGTTGGAAAAAGTCACCTTACAGCATCATAACTGAAGAGGTTCCTTATATCAAACATTATATAGCACTCGAAGTATTGTTGTCAGTGATGGTTTTGTGAAAAAATACAAAATTCACCACTTATGAGGACTTGGAACTTTGGCAGAGTTATTAAATATCAGATCTAATCAGTGTAAAGCTTGTGTCATCCCCATATCCAAAAGCTTTCTATAGTGCTTGTATTCATTGAAAGCATGTAAATAAATATATGTGTGTATACATAATGTCCATTTAGAAGAGTAATAGAAAAATAGCTTTCTTTTATCGACCTTTCCTCCAATGACTGTTCTATGATACAGGCAAAAGCTTGATAGCTTTTTTTTTTTGATGGCTGCCACATGTGTTTTTGCCCATTTCAGTCCCATTTAAAATCTCTCACTCCATCTTGAGATGTCTCTAGCCTTCAAAGAGACCAGAATGGTAGTTCCAAATAAATAAATGATAAAAACCTGTTAGATTTCTAGTTAAAAGCACAAAAGACTGTGTTTTTTTGTTTGTTTTGGATTTGTCAATTGTGATTGATGTATGACTGGGAATGTGTTAACTTTTGCAGTGCTATTTTCTTGTTTGCCTCCATGCAATCCCTGCCCTCCACCTGAAGCTTCCTCATTATCTTCAGTGCTACATTGGTAAAATGAAGAGCCCCTAAAACTAATGCTAATCTCTAATACAGCTGTGCTTCTTTTTGGGCCTGCTTATAAATTAATCCATGGGCTGTGTTGTAAATGGTTTCTCACACTTCCTTTCTCTGCTAGATCCACACAGGTTTACAGCACCAGATAATATGGCCATGCCAGCCCAGCTGTCTGCCACTGGATGAGAAACTCCTCCCAGAACTACTTCAAGAAGCGGGATATGTTACTCACATGGTGGGGAAGTGGCATTTGGGAATGTACAGAAAAGAATGCCTTCCAACCCGCAGAGGATTTGACACTTACTTTGGTAATGGTTTGATTTAACATGGGCAATAAATGCAGTGTTAAAAATGGTGAGAAACCACCCCATTCTTGTAACAACAGCAGATTTACTATTTATTTATAAGTAAAGCCATACATGGATATGCACATTTCCAAAGTATCACTGCTTAAAAAATGCTAATGCGTTAAATGTATGCTGAACTTACTGAAGAAAGTATCACAATTACTGTGTGGTTCCAAGTAAGGTATTTCTCTCTTAGTATTTCCCTCGCCCCTCCCTCCTTCCCAGAGTTAACTTTCAACTCTGAATTCTCTGTCTCCTACCTACAGCAGTACAGAGGAATAGAGAATGAGGATTATAGCCAGTTTGTGTGGCTTTGGTTTTCCAGAGCTGGTAGTGACATCATGTGAAGGCCTCTATAAAGTAGTACCCAAAAACTCACAAGTTAGGAACACGCAGACTAAACAATAGATTGTCCGAGTGTGAGTGCATTACTTGCAGAGCAACTTGTAGCTACCCATTGTTTATTGTTCCAAGTATGGTATGGGTTCCTGTCCCAGTATTGATTCCATATTTATTAGTTTTGCACAAGTGTCACGGATATTATGTGACTTGGGCTGTCTGCTGTACATCTTTTTCTGCACACAGTGCTGAGTTCAAAAAGACCCATCTCCACTTGGTTGTTTTTAAGACACTTTCCTTGAACAATGAATTTCAAAATCATTGTTTCAATGCAGAGGCCTGTGTTGCTCTTGTCTAACCTGAGGCTTAAATGAAGGCTGTGACTGTGCTACGTGTGTGCCTATGTTAGTCCAAATATAAGTTGGAAAAAACTGTTCCCTTAGATAGTATACTTCTTTTGGTTTTTCACGGTGCTCAGGGCAATGGTTTCACAACTGAATTAAGCTAATATATGTGGATTGGAATATAATGGCTCATTGCTTAAACATTTTTGCTTTCTCCCATCCCTTTACAGGAGCTTGGGATCTTTTTGATGGCATAGGTGTAGATAGGCTGCTGCTCCTTGTGAAATATCACCCTGGGACCAAGCAGGCTTTTAATGCTGGAGCCTGAGGACTAGCTGGCTCTGGGTATGGTTTTTGTATGCCCAATGTGACATTATTTTTCAGAGGACATAGTGGTTTAATATCCTGCAATGTTCATGTGATTGCAGTAGGCAGTGATTATGATTAGGGTTGTTTGATTCCATGGCACAACCGATGCAGTCTCCCTCAGCGGGCATTCAAAATGGAAAAAATGCACCATGTGCCTATGAGTACATTGATGTAAACAGTCTGCCTGTAAAAATCACTTTATCTTTTGAACGATTACCCATTTTTTCCTCCTAAAATGTCTAAATAGTAGACATTTATATTGCATTTAAAATAACTTTATTTTTTCTGTTTTTGCAGACATTACTAGTTGCAGCTGCTGAAAAAAAAAAACAAAGTTTAAGTAAATTTCTTCTGTCTTGGATTTTTGTCCCAAGTTTTTTTTGCAGAACATAAAACTCTATTTTTTTTCAGATTCATCCATTTTTTCAGGATATTGGGAGAGAAATCTAAAATCTAATTTAAAATGTAGTTTTTGAGATCCAAGTGATTTTGAAAAGTTTTATTTGTGACTGCTAAAACACAAAGGCTCTCCATGCCAAACCCTAGACAGGAGCAAATCTATACATGTAGAATTTTTTCTTAATTTCTTTTGGATAACTCTAGATGATAGTGTCTTTTCTTCACCAGCTGGTGTCAGCAGTGGATCAGAAATTACATTACAGCAGACATAAAAGGTGACTCATACTTGAGTGTTTTTGAATAAATGAATGTAAAAATTCCAAACTTTCCAATAGGGGTGGAAGCCTTACATCAAACATAGAAAATCATACCACCAGAGATCATGGCTAGATTTCATGGCTAGATTGCTGCTTTGGCTCTCAGTGCATTAGTTTAATGCTCATGGGCATCAAAGTATTAATAAGAAGTCATTGAACTGTTTTCAAAGTGTTTAATTTCTTTTGAAATTACTACTTAGCAATGAAAAGCCTATGAGGTATCAAATGTGGAGCTACTTAAATGTGTCAGGGGTGTCACAGTAGGTGGTCTAGGGTTGAATTAGTGTTTTAGCTCAAAACCACTAATTTTTTGACATCTATGTTTGACCTTTTTTTCTCCTCCTGATGCATGTGTTTATGTGACATGATGTTGGCCTTCTCATTTGACATCTTTTCCTCTTCTAGGCTACCTCCTAGGCAGTGAGGATTATTATACTCATGACCGCTGTGTCCTCATCAAAGCAAAGAATGTAACGCGCTGTGCTCTGGACTTCCGAGATGGAGAAGAAGTTGCAACTGGATTTAAAAATGTGTACTCCACAAATTTATTCACAGAAAGAGCTATAGATCTTATAGCCAATCACAAAACTGAGAAGGTACAGGCAACAGCTGCTACTCTGATAACTTGAGCATTAAAGAATGTTTTTTAAAAAGTTAATGAAATACTAATAGAGCTGTGTTTGAGCTGTAATTCAGGGTTATTTAGTAGGTGCGTAGAGCTAAATGTGAGAAGTGGCGCTGGTAAAACTCATCTTTTGCCAAAATCAGCTTTGTCTGCATGGTCCTGCCTGCTACCCTTCTCCATTTCTTTTACTATAGTACAATTAATAAATTTTTAGGAATGGCTTAGCAAGTAGTTTGCACTTCTAAAAAGAGAAGGGAAGTTTAAGATGAGAAGTTTAATAGAAAGAAAATAGAAGAAAAGATACACCTGGTGTTTTCCCACAGCTTTGCAAAAGTAGTTTTTCAAAACTTTATTAGTTTATGCGCAGGGATTAGAAGGTGTGGGAGAAATCAAAACACACTACCTGCACGGTTGATAAATCAGGTCTGCTTTTGCTGCAGTAACTTTTGCACTTAGTACTTAATGTTCAACTAATTTCCATTCTATCCCTTCGACCCCAGCCCCTCTTTCTCTATCTTGCCTTTCAGTCTGTGCATGAACCTCTCGAGGTCCCTGAAGAATACATGAAACCATATTCTTCCATAAAAGATGTAAAGAGGCGCCATTATGCAGGAATGGTGACTCTTATGGATGAAGCAGTAGGAAATCTTACTGATGCTCTGAAAACATATGGTCTTTGGGACAACACAGTTCTTGTTTTCTCTACTGGTAAGTTCCTCCAAGTATTTTTTCAGTCATAACTTTGCTACAGTGTCTAACAAGCTGACTACAGAGACATCTGGCCCCTATGTCTTTTCTCTGGTTATTTTCTAGTGACAGAAGAGTGATGGAAGTTGAGCAGGAGTTTAAGTGAAACAACAGTCTCTCTCTCTCTTCTCTTAGGGCTTTCTCAAGCTTAACAAAAACAACTCTGAAGTAGAGTCTGTGCAAATGGGAAATGCTCCTGGTAGTGTAGAAATACTTCTGTAAAATCTGAAGAGTGTAGTGGAGTTAGAAGCATCCTACTTGACGCTGCAGTTACTGAGGATCTGTCAGAACTGAATCCTTCCTGAGAACTGTCTACAAATTTATTTCTTCTGAAGCAGTCTGTCCTGTCTGTGAATTGCCATGTGTTGCATAAAGCCCAAACAGCCAGACAGCAAGCAGTTTGAAGCCAAATTGTTTCTTTCCTTCACTTTAAGGTGACATGTAGTTTTTGTCTTTCTTGAACTCTTTCACTGGCATCTTACTCCCATGAAACAAAGATATTTTAATGAAACAGCTGAAAATATGATGAGTAGTCTAGTCAGCCAAACTACAATCTAAGTTTTTGTATGTACAGGCATATGATCCGGTTATTAGATTATTAGAGTAATGCAAATAATACGTTGCAAAGCAGTCTCCTTTGTTTCCAAATTAAGAGTGAAACAGAACCTTTTTGAAATACAGCTGCTTGGCTGGGTTTCAGGAACATATTTGCTCTTGTTTGGCTGGAAGTAGTAAGTAGCCTTTCAATGCATACAGTTGTTCTTTTGTCCACACTTTACATGTTAGGGCTGTCAAAATGGCAAATTAATTTTCTGTGAACACTTCAAATATGGCAAAAACAACAAAACAAACAGACAAGCTAAACAAAAGCAGAACCAACCAAAGTTTGATGAAAATGCATTGATGTGTTTTGAGTTTAGCAGCTGCTTCCTATAGCGCTCAGAATCTTGGAATTTCATTTTGAGTCCAAACCTATTTGCCTTATGATGTTACATTGTGTTCAGGATTTGGCTCTTGCAGGATTTGATAACTCTTCTGTGCCTGTGTCTGTTTGCAATGTTTTTATATTTAGAACTGAAAGTAAGCAAAGACATATGGAAAATGATACCAATATTTATTCTGTATGGAAAAATTCCAGTCTTTGCTGATGGGGCTTGGTAGAGTTATTTCAGTAATGCTTGTTCAGTACATCGTGGAATAAAACTAAATACATCTGAGCTAGAATTACAAGATATGAATGAATTAAAAAGACAAATTTGTTTTTTTCATTTATGAAGTGTTTATTTTTCTGAACAGTGACAGTCTACCCTGTTTTTTAAAGTGGTTACTTTGCAATCATTGCAGGTATGTTTCAACAAGAGTCAACCAACCAATCAGAGTAGAATAAGTGTCTAGCCTATCTAATGTGATTTATTTTGAATTAACTGACACTTGAAACTTCCAAGAGTTAAATTTAATATGATTAAAATGCATGGAAATTTGACTTAAATCAGGCAGGACAGAGGCCAGTGATTTGAGTTTTTTCAGTGTTCTCTCTTTAATTCATGCAGTTATTCTTTACAGGCATAGAACATTGTATGCAATAAGGACCCAGTTTCAAAAACCAAGTGTTATAACCATAAGACATTTTAAAAAGACCAGAAAAGGAAAACAAAACTGTCAAATTACTCAGTTTTTATATATTTTGTTTAGTGCTTTTGCAGGTGGCATGTTTCAGAATGGACATTAGAACATGTCTGAAGAGAAACATGCAGTTGAGCATCTGATGCAGAGAGCTGTGCTGTGTCACATATTCCTGCACAGCTTACAGGTCCTTTGGAATTGACAGTCCTGGAGTGCACTGGTAGCTATAAGATGAGCATATGATTATAGTATGATTTACATTCAGCTCTTGAGGACGTGTCTGCTTGAAGAAGTGCCTCTCCCTGCCCCAAGTGCTGTTCTGGCACTGGGAGACCCTCCTTTTGCTTGGTGGAACATAGCAGGGGACACACACTTTTCACTATGATGAAGAACTCTCTCCAAAAAAGTTCTTCCCATTTTGTGGGATTAAGAATCAATTTAAGGATTTCAATGAAGACTGAAAGGGAGAATCTAGGGAATGATAAAGTTTATCCTTAAGTTTAATGAGCAATGTTAAAGACACAAAATCATCATACTTCCCCAGAGGCATTTGGGTGTGCTGGTGGGTGAGAGGCTGGACATGACCCAGCCATGGGCACTCCCAGCCCAGAGAGCCAAACGTGTCCTGGGCTGCATCCAGAGCAGCATGGGCAGCAGGGCCAGGGAGGGGATTCTGCCCCTCTGCTCTGCTCTGCTGAGAGCCCACCTGCAGGGCTGCATCAGCTCTGGGGTCCCTGCACAGGAAGGATGTGCTGGAGTGAGCCCAGAAGAGGGACACAGAAATTATCAAAGGGCTGGAGCACCTCCACTGCTAGGAGAGAGTTGTGGTTGTTCAGTCAGGAGAAGAGAAGGCTCTGAGGACACCTTACTGCAGCCTTTTAGTACTTAAAGTAGGCTTATAAAAAAAAAGAGGCCAGAGTTTTTAATAGTACCTGTTGCAATAGGACAAGGGGTCCTATTCACAATTATGTTGGTGAAGCACTGGAGCAGGTTGCACAGAGAGGTGGTGGACACTCCATCCCTGGAAACATTCAAGTTTCCAGGCACTAAATCAGCTGTTATAGTCAAAGATTGTTGGTGGGGGGGTTGGACTAGGTGATATTTAAATGTCCTTTCAAACCCAAACCATTTTATGAGAAAAGCACTCTCTGTTTTGTTAGCTGTGGTGTTTGATAAAGTTATTGTTGAAAGTCTGTAGAGGAAGAAGTAGGCCCTACTTTTACTAGATTCATTACTATTTCCTTTTTAGTTGAGGTCAAAATTCACACTTCCATGATTGTATCTCTCCATGCTTTAAAAGCCCTGTCAAAGAATAATTTACAGGCGGTCATTTTGTATTTTGTAGTATATCAAGTAGCATCGCAACAAACATTGTCTTCTGACTACTTCTCTGTGTTGTTCTCAAACTGTAGATCTTTGTAGTGGGTTTTTTATTTAGAATATGATGTAATCTTTGATATTTTGGTAGGGTTTTTTCTATTATACTTTTTCATGTTTCTTCCTATTTGTTATGGCTCAAGAGGGATTGCCTTGGAAACATGCCAGTTGACAAATGGAAGTACTGCACACTTTGAAAGAGTCTTGTGAAATGTGTTGAACTTCAGTTGTTCTTTAAAGTGGCCTGATGGAGATACCAGGATAAAGATGTAACTTCATTATGTTTGGTCATTAGAAAAATCTGACTCCCTCAGTTTGTCCTGTAAGTCAAGCCTCTGGTGTCTTTTTGAACAGATAGATGGGCTATTTCCACAAGTAAGTAAGAAAAAGGTGAGCAGGTTCAATGATATGTGGTGTTAAAGTTGTGTATCAAGTAGTAGCTTGAAAAGTCTTGACTGGTTTGATATGAAGTAGAATTTGCTTTTAAGGAGTATTTTTTACATTGCATATACAAGTCTGTGCTAATGAGGTCATTAATTAAAATGAAATATTTACTTGTTTAAGCTACACATATGAAAATTAATGCAGCAGTGGTGGGTACCCATGGCCTTTTGTCCACTTGAAATCAAGGACAATGAGAGATAGGGCATATTTTTCCTTTTAGCAATTATAGGAGACTGTAATTGCAATTTTCCTGAAGAGGGCCTTAATTTAAAGTAAAGACCAGAAAAAGCATTAAAATGGTACAAATTTGGCTCAGAGTCCAAATTTTGCTTCAAACACAGAACTGTGATTTGAGGTGAGAAGTGGGGATTTGCTGTGAATATGATGTGATTATAGTTTCTTCAAGGCATTACAAGAAATTTTGGTACAAACTTGCCAACATTAAAGCAAAGGAATATGACTCCTAATTTCAGTTCTGTATTGAAGCTACTATCCTTTGCTTTATTTAACTTTCAGCTTTTAGTTATACAAAAACACTGTGGAGCAACGCTCCTTTTTTCCAGAATTTCTTGCAGTTTTTAATCGTGGACTAGCGCTGTAATGCCTGGTAGTTGCCGTAAGAGGGCTTTGAAAAGCAAAACACGTGGAACTTTTCAAGCCTTGGTTTACATTGCTAAGAGGAAACCACATAAATCCTTTCCATAATGGAGCATGTGACAGTGATGACTGTTTTCACTCCAAAAGACAGTCTTTTTATCATTGTAGAATTATGATTAATAAGAGCACAGATTGTTTTGGACATACTTACAGTATGCATAATATTTGGACTGATGTTTATACAGTCTCTATCATACCCATAGGGTTTTTTTCCTCACAAGATTTCATATTACATTTTTTTTTTTCCCCCTCTTTTCTCTTTTATTTTTTGTTTCATTCCAGCCAGCATATTGTGGCTTTTGGTTAATGAAATACTGGATCTTCTTTTTCCTATTTCCAGTGCCTTCTCCGAGACTATGAATCTGACTTTCACTGATTCCTTAAGAGTGTTTTTTATCTTCTTGATATCTTTGTTCAGAAATGAACTACTGCTGCTTCACTTTTGCTTTTAAGGGACTTCAGAGAGCCTTCTAATTGCAGATTGGCCAAGCCAACTGATTAGAGCAGTTATTCTCTGTCTGTTATGTCTGAGGTGCTAATTTTGAAGGTTGTGCTCTCAGATTCTTCTATTGCAGACCTGAAGACTTGTTTTAATTGGCCTTTCAGAGGTTTCTGAGAGGTTTGGTATGTTGCCAATCAGGAAGATGCCTGGGCTGCTTCCTAAGTGGAAGTAAGCATAGGTGCCTTAGCTGCAAGCACCTTCAATCAACCTAGTTATTTGAGTTCATCTATTCCCAAATATTATTTTTCTTTCTTGTTTATTTAACCTTATTTTTATACAGGCAAAGGTTCTAACAGATCAGTATACTTGCATCGGTTAGAACTGTTGTATGGCAGTGATAGTGAAAGGTGCAATGTGG